GGGGACTCATAGTGAAGATACACTGATAATCATATGCTACAAACAAAATGGAAAAACCTGACAGAGGCTGCATCTCAGATTCTGCCTCATTCCTCTGACTTTCAGTATTTTTGAACAGAATGATCCCAGAAGGCCCAGAGGATCGCCCTTCCCAAGATCTTTTGCACAAACTCCACCTTTATTCAAACACCCTCCCAACGCGGCTTTCAAGTCCACCTCCCATCTAACCAAGTCCCTGAAGCTTTCCTTGTCTTCTACAGGTAGAGTCTGTCTATGGCTCAGTATGCACTCTCTGAGCGCATAGGAATCCGGTAATAAATCCCCTTGGCATTCTAGGATGTAAGAGTGTGGTTTCAACTGTTCCCAAAAGACCCTAAAGGTCCACAACTTTGTGCTGATCTGTCATTTTACACAGGAACAAATTTGATTTCAGCCAGCTATGAAGTCCCTATGGAATAATAGTAGCTGACATAGTGAGTAAGCTGAGCCCCACCCACTCCCAGGCCTTCATAGCCCAACCCAGCTTGGTTGGCCTCTACTTGATACAAAAAATTTTTTTCCCTTTGTGAAGAATGAACTGCCTCAAAAAGAGCTATCAGCTGGTGATGGAAATGATGAGTGAGTGAAGCCGTCCAAGAAAGAGATGGTCCTTAGCCAGAAAATAGCTTTATAAATTACCTTAATCTTTTATTAAGAATCTGGAAGCATCACTTAAAAATCTTAGTTGTACTTTACAGCGTTTTATGGGGAGAAGTTATACACTACAGTGGCATTAACAGAATTGGAAATTTGAAAAGGCTTTGGGCCTTGCCCCTCAGTAATGTCAAAAGCTCCCGGTAGCTTTAGTGAGCGCTCATAACATTGCAATATAATTATGCGTTTAGCTATCTCCTTTCTAGTCTGAAAAGCAGGGTCGTGTAGATTCAAGAGCTGTATCTGGGATCAGATCTCCATTCACTTAATAACTAGGTGAACTTGAACAGGTTACTTAAGCTCTCTGTGCCTCGATTTCCTTGTTTTTAAAATGGGAAGTAGAATAGTACCTATCCAATCAAGCTTAAATATAGCAATACATAAAAAGCATTTTAATCAGTGTCTAATCCATCAAGAAGTGATTGACAAACGCTAGTAATTAGTTTGAGAGTTTCCTCTAGGGCAGAGTTGATGTCTTAAGAACCTTTTCAAAAATGTCTAGTGCTCCACTGGCTCACGCAGTGCTTGGCACCTAGACTGTGCTCCACATGAGTGAATGAATCAGTGAATAAAAGAGTCATG